ACTGGAGTCCAGCTCAGCTCTCAGCATTCCATAAGTGATGGCAACATGAGAAAGTGCTTTCTGACATTACAATGCAATTTCTCACTCTTTTGAACTTATGTCAACTCTTTGCAAGGGATAACATTCCCACCACAATATCATAATGTGCGTTTCATCACCTGTACCATCTTACATTTTCCACAATCACTTTTTTCAGCATTCTCAGTGAAGGTTTCACCTGATGAATCCAATTTAAGTCATTTTTCTAAATTATGCATTAGGAGAGTTTTAGATTTCTTAGCCTGGAATGCACGAATACCGAGCTAATCTAGGCAATAATATTTCTTTTGCAAACTTGATATGATATGAATCAGATATAAAGAAAAGGGAGTCCAATTTTAAGTTTGTATTTAGCCATAAAACAGAATTACTTCTTTTGATAGTGATACTGCATTTACTCCAAGCTGAAATATTTGATATAATAACATCTTATATGTAACTGAGGCTGAGATATGAACAGACTAGGTATCTTTCTGAATTTATCTCAAACTTCCACTATTATCCTAGCACAGGAACTAGTTGTTCTATTGACTAATTATATTTTGTAATATTATTTGGCAGACTGTCTTATATAAAGCCATTGTTCCCACATCTTTTACAGCTTGCTAGAAATGGGTAACTTGCCAGTAACACACCAAACATAAATCCAAACAGGAACTTTATTTTTAGTTTTATTTTTTAATCTTTTAGGTCTTCTTCCTGCCTTGCTATTTCATGTATGCAAATTATGAGGAACTCATTTAACCTTGATGTATAAACTTCAATTTTACCAGGTGAATATTTGAGATCTAGAGCATCGAAGAATAAATTGTCAATAAAAATGTCTCTATACTTATAATTTTCCTTTTCATAGGCCTGGCTTTATAAAAGTAACTCCCCACATCCACATATATACAACCACATACCTATATTATCTTTGTTTTCTTAATTGCCTGTTGATAAAAACGATGAGATAGAGAACTGAAATTATCTTTGAAACAGTTAAGGTAAATCATGCCTCAAATTCATCTTTGAAACAAAACAGATGCCTAGTATCCTGGGACATGGAGAGACAGTTACAATAACATGTGGCGGGTAGAAGACGAATTAACTCACTTTTCACTCTTGCTAATATCCTGTTCCAAATCCTACCTCCTGGAGCTGCTTTTGCAGCAAGCAGCTTCCACTGGGGTCTGGATACCTGTATCTATGCCCACCACATGATATGGCTCTTATCTGGCCATCTTATTGTTCATTCAGTAAGACTCTTCTTGATGCTAAAAGCAACAATGAAATAGTCCTGTTCCCAGCTTGCCACAGCAAACAAGATGATTGATTACATTGTTACTGAATAATGACTTATTTTTAAAAAGCCTTCTCTTAAAGCTATTGGTCTTCATTATATAGCAGTGGGTTTCATTCCACAGTTGGCATGATCAGTCTTGTTTTATCATCTTTCCTTCTAATCTCCCCATTGCCCTGGTCTGTTTTTAAGGGATTTGGAATCCAATCATAACAATGAGTATTGTTGAAAGTCTGAAGGACTCTTCATCTCTGGAATGTTATTCTGTTTTTCATATTTCTGTATCAGAACCTTACTGCTGTCAGTTCAGTCTTGCATAATTGTCATTTAAAATTAAATCCCCCAATGGTTTTGAATCCATGCATGGGAAACCTCTAACAACAGTACATTACAGAAAAAAGTCTCCCTTTGTTTTTCTATGACATATAAGTTTGTGCAATTTGTATTCTTGTATAACTTAAGAAGGAAGAACATGTAAGAATCAGACCTCAGAAATACTTCTGGCCAGCCCTGAATTAGCAATAGCAATAGCACTTAGACTTATATATAGCTTTACAATGCTTTACAGCTTTCTCTAAGCAGTTTACAGAGTCAGCATATTGCCCCCAACAATCTGGGCCTTCATTTTACCCATTTCGGAAGGCTGGAAGGCTGTGTCAACCTTGAGCCTGGTGAGATTCAAACTGCCAAATTGCAGGCAGCCGGCAGTCAGTAGAAATAGCCTGCAGTACTGCACTCTAACTACTGCGCCACCATGACTCATTGCCACTTTTATTTATAGGGAAAGTACATACAAACTGGGAAGAGTATTTTGTTGCAATCAGCTTTTCCAAAACAACCTTTTTCCAGTTATGTTAGAATTACAGCTACCAAAATGCTACTCTGCACTGGTGTTAGGAAAGGCACCAGGTTTGAGAAGGCTCATTTTAGGCAACCAGACAGAAACTTTTCCATTTAAAATTCATTTGACCACTCAGCTGAGTGATTGGATAGTGTAACTATTCCAACTGTACATAATGCTCCCAAGTATACAGGATCATTATTACTATATTTAATACTAAAGTACAACAGGCAGCAGGTTTACAATGAATGTATTGGCCTCCACTGTGATACACTGATTCCCAGGGAAACAGATATTCCTTCCCACTTCAAACAAGGGAAAAGGAAGCAACAGAAGCCAGGAATCCAGGTTCTCATACAGCAGCCAGGAGAAAGTGGTAAAAGTCACAGTGCCAAGCAGCCAGCCAGGGGCTGGAAGACATCTGTAACAGTTAGGTGTCTGCAGGGCAGGGAGGCAAATGACAAAAGTAGCATCACACCATTGCAACTGTAAGCTCCACTTTCTTCAATGTGCATTGTACTGTTGCACGCAATACATAAATCATGGAGGAAACAGCATGACATGCTGTCATCGTTTTGACAAAAGTATCAGACAATGCAAATCCCTTGGCATTATCTTCTAGTTCATTTTCCACTGAGGCATTACTGATTATTCATATGGTCAGATTTGCACAGAGATAAGAGAATGTCATGGATTGCAGTTGCAGTCTAATTTCTAGAATATATAAACTACGATTCTAGCTTATATTTTCCCTCCAAATTCCAACTGGGCATTAGGATAAGACGGTGTTGGCGAACCTTTTTGGCACCAAGTGCCGAAATGGGAGTACATGAGCGGGTGGAGGAGCACCAGAAACTGGAAGAGTAGTTCCCCAATGCGCATGTTGGGAAGCTGCGCTCCAATTTCCGCTATGCGCATTGGTCACCTGATCTTCCGGTTTGAAGATCAGCTGGCTGGAGCGCATGCGCATGCCGGAAACCAGAAGCTTAGCTTCTCAGCACATACATTCATGCCAGGGAGCTGCTCTTCCGGTTTCCAGTGCCCCCATTCACACGAAGACCACATGTCTTTGCGCATGTATGCACTGGAATCCAGAAGAGCAACAGGCAATGGCTGGCGAGCTCAGAGAGATGGCTCTGCATGCCACTCCCAGCACGCATGCCATAGGTTCGCCATCACTGGGATAGGAACTGAGTATGGCAATGTGTTCAACTCCAGTGAAAACATCGCGCTGTGAGCGGTAAATTTAAAATTAAAGCGAAAACCTTACCCTAACCCCCCCAAACCTAACCCTAAACCTAACCCTTAACCTAACCCTAAACCTAACCCTAACCCTAAACCTAACCCTAACTCTTAAGGTAACCCTTAACCTAACCCTAACCCTTACCTTTATGTG